CATATTTGTCTTATTTTTTTTTTTATGGACTTTGAGCTCCTTGAGAATGGGAAGAGCCTTTTGTTTTTTGCAATGTTTTTCACATATTAAGTGTTCTATTGGTTTCTCACCGAAACCTCTGAAATGCTAAATCTCTTTTTTGTTCTGTGAGAAGAAAGCCATACTGAGCAGCTAGCTCTACTCTACACATGACTTCCACCATAATAACAGGGACATAAGTTAAATAGAAATTCTAGAAGCATCAGTTATTCCATGATTTAAACATGATTTTATGAAAACTTGAATGTGTCCAGAACAACCAAACATTTTCTTATAATTAAGTATATTTGAAAGAATATTTATACTTTTACTTAAGATATTTCATGTCCAGCTTTAGTCTTAAATGAAGTCAGATGAAATTGTCTGCTTTGAGAAAAGCAATGTTTATGGAGGGGTAAGGGTTTGATAGGGGAGGAGGGAAAAGAGAGAAAAATATGTTTATCACTACAGAGCTCTGTAAAACTTTTTCATGTGTATTACTCTGGAAATATATTTGCTCAGCCAAATCTTGGTTTTGATGTATATTTACTGTAGACAACTGAATATAAACAGAAAATAAACTATTAGAGATTTTTCTTCTCTGCTTCTTCCAAGAGGAATAAGTTATTCCAAATCTTGAAAAAAATTTTCTTTGAACCTGGGACTGACTAGTTGTTTTTGGATGCTTCCTCATTCACATCTAGTTTCTGTTCTCAGTTTCTTAACGTTGAATGTAATATTTATAGAATTCACAGAGTCATGGGTAGACTATTTAAAATCTCCTTTTCCTCTAAAAAGTGAATATTTTCTCTCTCCTATCATATTTACAGATTTAACGTAGTTTAGAATGATGTAATTCCTTTATTCTTTAACAGCAGTCCAAAACTGTGTGGTCCTAGTTTTATTAAAACAAATTGTCTTTATTATTCCAACACATTCTCCTGAAAATGAAACAATTATAGTATCTATTTAAGATCTAGTTACACTAAACTAAGTTTTATGGCTATAGTTTTTCTTAGATTTTCTGGTGGGTTTGCTCAAACCACCCGTTTGTTTTAAAACGTTGTCGAGGTGTATTATTCTGTGCATTTTGCTTGTTTAAGAATGACTATAGTTTGTATTTTTCCCATTTATTTTCAGCATTTAGAATATGTGTGTTGAGTGAAGCTCTAGAAATGTACTCACAATATTGATGGTGAAGTCTTAAGGGGGAATTTATGTTTGCTTGTTTTATTTGAGATCTGTGACCTTTACCTAACTACCTCAGGTGCAAGATCTAACCAAAGACACTCAGCAATTAATGAAATTAGAAGTAATAAAACTCAAGAAATTTTATTAAGGGAGGCTCTTAATAATATTACTTCACTTTATCAGCAATTTTTAATCTAGTTCTTTATTTTTCATTTGATGGTAGATTAAGTTTTGATTCTTTATGGAAATACTTTATAATTTAGTACAGTGTGAGAAAGAATACTTTAAAAAGTTATGTCTCTTCTGTGTAAACCCAAATATCTGTTGGACATTGCATGAGTACATTTAATTTTATAATGTTATTTGTTTTAGAGTTGAAACATTGTGAACTAGATTCTTTGAATTTCCCATGTGGTCTAAAACTGACATATTATTAGCAAATAACTTTAAAAATTAAAGTGGAAAAATTGAGCTCATATATTAAATTTCCAAAGATGGGAAGTATATACTGTTTTTTATGCATAACATGTAAGGCTAAATGTAATTTTTTTCAACATCTGATATTATCACCCCACAAAGTATATAAATATCTTATTTAGGCTATCAGGCCACAAGAATATTAATCAGCATGCCGGCTTGAAAAAAAGAAAAAGAAAAAGAAAAAAAAGACATATTTTCTTCATTTTTTCTCCCCAGTATTTACACAATTTAGGAAAGCTGCATTGATCCCTGACCCCTATTCTTGTCATCAGAGACATCACAGCTATACTACAATGACAATAATGTTGACTAGGTACGTACCAGCATGCCTTAGACACAGTTAGATGCTCAATGATCTCAGTTCCTTTCCTGAATAAAAAAATCTAATCTATTCCAATACCTTTTGTTAAACAATTTATTTACAGGTGCATATGTGTTTGTGTTCACTTGCACACATGCTTGTATGATTTGGGGTTGGGTCACTCCAGTGCTCTATCTATATGTTTCCAAGATTAATATTTAAACCAGGATAAAAGTCAATTAAAATAGATTTCTTAACGTCATGCAGGTAGACTTTTAGGATATTTCCTATAAATATTTGCTTGCATTTGTTTATTGATACAGTGACAGGATAAGAATGTCTTCCTGGAGTAGATGAGGCCAATTTTCACAAAAGCACATTCTGGAATGAGGTTCGACATGGCAGTCTCTATAAAGCAGCATTTTAAAACTGGGGATCCAAAATAGAATGCTGCATTCTTCATTAAGAAAGTAGAGAGTGGTAATTACCTTTAGTGATTAGAATCCAGAAAAAATGCACAAAAAAGGATACAGGCTGGAGAGGGACAATTCTAGCATATGAGACACTTAAAGGTAGCCATTACTTTTGACTCAGTCATTAAAAATCAGCTATTAACAATCCATCATCAACTGCAATTTATACACTTAGAAATGCTGATTGATGAAAGAATTTGAAAGGGATTAAAGTAAGACCAGACACTACATCCTACATTCACATTCACACCTCTTTAACAATCACTGGAATAAAATAGCAGGTTTAAGTCATAACTATAAAGAGATATTGATTATGAGATGAAATCAATTTTAGCTCTATTGAAAATAAAGCCAACAGAATTTTCCATTGCTTTGATTTAGACTCTGTAAGAAAAAAATCACAAGCATTTGGGAAAAAAAAAAAAAAAAAAACAGACAGGAAAGAAAGAGAAGTTAATATCCTCAGACTATATACAATGATCAACGGGGAGTCTTTATCTGGAAGTGTAATAGTTCTAACAACTTAAGCTTTCAAGAATGTTCCTAACTTAAGCTAGATTCAGTTTGAAGGATTTATTCATTTGACATGGCTCAGTAGTTTATACACAAGAATGCTTGCTCAAAAAGGATTTTCTTTCTTAAAAGTTTCAAAGAAAAAAGTAAAATCTTATTTTAAATACTTGGTTTTGTTTTTGGCTATATTATTAAATATTAATTGTGTATTAGTTTGTATATTCACAGTTATTTAATCTGAATATTTCTCATGTCTCATCCATCATTTAGGAGGCTCAAAGAGTTCACAAGAGCTAGATTTATATAAAAATTAAATCTGCATTTTCTCAGAATTCATAATTTTGGCTATTTTGAGGTTTCCTTTACATTAAAGTTAAATGATGACCATCCACTTTCTAAGATATAAAAGTCATCTCAGAATTTTATATGCATTATGACACTTGTTTTTGTTTTAAAATAGTGAACTTATTTGTCTGAAATTTCATTTTTACTCAAAAAATAAAATGTTTTTCTGTTTTTCCCTATAGTCTTGGATAGTCATGAAATGGCACTGTACTTTGTTGAAATGCTAAGTGCAAACACTTAAACATTTGCATGTTGCGAAATTACCAAATGTATAATAATTTGGAGAAATCACATTTGATAGAGTTACTATGAATAATGTAAACTGATGTCTAGATTTTATCTAAACTTCATAACCCCTCAAAATAAAGTGAATTTCTCAAATCAAATGAAAAAGAGCTACATTTTAGTTTCCACCCATTGGCTCCATTTTTGTGATACTAGTTTTGTGATACTAGATGGAAAATATGAATCATTCTCATGGGTTAAAGTATTTAGGGCCAGGACTTGTTAGAGCATTGGCAAAGACTTTATCTGCCTGTCTTCACATATGAGTATTAGCCTTTTCCTCTCTTGGGCTGATACCTGCACAGATTTACTTTGTAGAACATTTTCTTCTAATTCATAAATCAACTTTGGTTAAAGGTTATTTCAGAAGTTAAGCAGGTATCATCAAAAGACACTTTCGTGGCAGACAGGTAAGTGTCAGTGACAGTGACATCATCAAGCTCTGTGCTGAAATGATCTGACTCCTTAATGACGCTGTAATTTAGAGCTACACTGTAGTTAGAGGGCTTCTCCATTGGTTTCTGCTTACAGTTGCAGAGTTTTCTGAAGGCTGCTCGGAATTTCTGGGACATGAGATTGTAAATCACTGGGTTGATGGCACTGTTGAGATAAATGCAAATTCTGCAAAAGAGTAAGAACCAATTTTCTTGGAAAGGGCTGGAGAGAAATGAGTTGACAACCACAAGAGTCCGGTAGGGCATCCATAAAAGAGCAAACAGAATTACAACCACTGCAAGCATCTTGGTGACCTATGGAAAAAGAAATAGAGAGAAATGTAGTGCAAACACAAATGTAAACAAAGCAAAGCAAAAAATAAAAATAAAAATAAAATAAAATCAAAACAACTCCGCTCCCCCAACCTTTAGTTTCCAAGGACTTAAGTGGAGGCAGTTTATTTGGGAGATGGTCCAACGACGCCAGATTCAGGGTATAGAGAAGAATGTAATCGAGGAAGAGAAGCCCAGACTGGGTGTGTGTTATTGAGATGACTCCCACTGTGGGCAACTGCAGATCAAGTGGGACACTTCAGGGTTATCTGCTCAGAGGAAGAGAGGCTGGGGCGTTTTTCCGCTGGCTGACACCTCCCCTTTGTGGAGGGGTGCCCTTGGGGGGCTAAGTGCAAACACTTAAACATTTGCATGTTGCAAAATTACCAAATGTATAATAATTTGGAGAAATCACATTTGATAGAGTTACTATGAATAATGTAAACTGATGTCTAGATTTTATCTAAACTTCATAACCCCTCAAAATAAAGTGAATTTCTCAAATCAAATGAAAAAGAGCTACATTTTAGTTTCCACCCATTGGCTCCATTTTTGTGATACTAGTTTTGTGATACTAGATGGAAAATATGAATCATTCTCATGGGTTAAAGTATTTAGGGCCAGGACTTGTTAGAGCATTGGCAAAGACTTTATCTGCCTGTCTTCACATATGAGTATTAGCCTTTTCCTCTCTTGGGCTGATACCTGCACAGATTTACTTTGTAGAACATTTTCTTCTAATTCATAAATCAACTTTGGTTAAAGGTTATTTCAGAAGTTAAGCAGGTATCATCAAAAGACACTTTCGTGGCAGACAGGTAAGTGTCAGTGACAGTGACATCATCAAGCTCTGTGCTGAAATGATCTGACTCCTTAATGACGCTGTAATTTAGAGCTACACTGTAGTTAGAGGGCTTCTCCATTGGTTTCTGCTTACAGTTGCAGAGTTTTCTGAAGGCTGCTCGGAATTTCTGGGACATGAGATTGTAAATCACTGGGTTGATGGCACTGTTGAGATAAATGCAAATTCTGCAAAAGAGTAAGAACCAATTTTCTTGGAAAGGGCTGGAGAGAAATGAGTTGACAACCACAAGAGTCCGGTAGGGCATCCATAAAAGAGCAAACAGAATTACAACCACTGCAAGCATCTTGGTGACCTATGGAAAGAGAAATAGAGAGAAATGTAGTGCAAACACAAATGTAAACAAAGCAAAGCAAAAAAAATAAATAAATAAAAATAAAATAAAATCAAAACAACTCCGCTCCCCCAACCTTTAGTTTCCAAGGACTTAAGTGGAGGCAGTTTATTTGGGAGATGGTCCAACGACGCCAGATTCAGGGTATAGAGAAGAGTGTAATCGAGGAAGAGAAGCCCAGACTGGGTGTGTGTTATTGAGATGACTCCCACTGTGGGCAACTGCAGATCAAGTGGGACACTTCAGGGTTATCTGCTCAGAGGAAGAGAGGCTGGGGCGTTTTTCCGCTGGCTGACACCTCCCCTTTGTGGAGGGATGCCCTTGGGGACTCTATGGCCCTGCAATTCCAGGATTCTCCTGCCTGAAAACTCCTGGGGCTTTAGAAAGAACTTTGGGGAAGAAAAAAGGATAGACAGTCAGGAGACAGTGGACACCCAAAGTGGCATGTTCTCTGCACACAGGAACCAGCTACTGTAGCTATGGCTGAAATCAGAGTCTGGCTAAGATGATGTGACGCGGGGAACCAAAAGTGTCTATGACAAGTATTAGGTGACCTAAGGTCTGATTCCATCTTTACTTACTTATATGTGATCCTGAGAAATGATCATAACCTTTCCTATATCTTGTCTGTGAAATGGAGCCAGTATTACTCCTCCACATCAAATGAGGTAACACAAACGTAATAGTTTGAAAGGATAAAGTATCTTAAGTAAAAAGCCAACAGTGATGGAATGTCTATGTGCCAGACAATATACTATGTGCTTTACATATGTTATCACACTTAAAAAGCTTCAAATCCTCCAAAATAAGTATTACGTCCTCCATTATTCAAATTAGAAGATGGAGGTACAGATGCGCCTAAGTGCTTTGGCGTGAGTTGTAGAGTCTTAGAGACAGGATTGGAATCCAAGTCAGTGGAATTCAAAGCTTTTGCCCTTCCTGCTGCACAGCTTTCCTTCAGGGCAAAGGGAGGTGGAAGCCAGAGAAAACAAACTCTAGAATTTAACATAATCCTAAATGCAAGCAATGCACAGGAGATAAGACAAAAGGTAGGATGAGGTTTAATACTCAAGATTACCCAGGAACAAGATTATGGAAGGGCATAATTTAGCAGATTCTTCTCTCACTCACCTCTGTGTTCAGTGAAAGGCCAAGGATTGGCCTGGCTTCAGTGTGAAATCATCTGGCTTTCACTTTATAAGTAGTTTTAAGACCTTACTAACAGTGACTCATCTGTACTTCTATTTCTACATCTGGAAATACGTCTGATCATATTGTTTCATTTACTTCATAGAGACATTGAAAAAATAAAATAATGAACATGGTAAGAGCTTTGAATTTTTAAAATGCAATAGAAATTCTCTTTGACTAATGACAATATAAAGAGACAGCCCATAGTATTTCAACTATAGGTAGAGCTATTAAAATTGTCACAGTGATTATCTTTGGGTGGGAGAGATAATAACTGCTTTTCTTCAAGAGCAACACTGTACACATTTTAAAATACATTTTCAGTTATCTTTAATCTCTCACAGAGTTTGAGAAATTTTAACTTCCTCAGCCTGTACTTTCTAGATGTTCTGAACTTAAAAACTACCCAAGAAGGAACTATTTCTTCCTCCTTCATCCCTCTTAACCTTCCAGCTGTTTCACTGAAGTCCCCTCCCCACCAGCAGCCTCTATTTTGCTGCAACATCGAGGGGGATCCTGTTTTTAGAGAGGGCTTTAAAACATCTTTAGTGTGGAAATAAAGATCCCACATCTAGACGCCTACTCTGTCATTAGTATCTACTATATGTTCAGCTCCCAACCTTGTGCTTAGTCCTGGTAGTAGAATCCATCTTGGTCTCCTGTGTGACATACCTCCCTTTTTCCCTAGCACTCCTAGTCTTCTGATCCTGGGGCTCCGTCTTACCCTTAACCATATCACTTCCACCCCACCTAGGAGTTCCCCATGAGTTCTGAATTGTGAGGATAATGCTACTTACTCTCTTGCTGTTATTTGCCCTGGGTCTATAGTAATTGCCACCTTTCTAGGCTCTCCAAATATCAGTTGCTGTTAGACTTGTCATCTATGGTCACACGTTGCTTTTATCACGTTTTGAACCACCACCGTCTCATTTTAAGGACTCCTACTACTTCCTTAAAGGACACCCATGAGCTATCCATCTACTCTCAAGTTACTGTGTTCCCTCTGCTTCCAAGGCTGTTTCATCACTTCCTGGAAGCTCCCCTTGCCCTCCTGTACTATCTCACTCACTGTCCCCTGAGCTTCTTTTCTGATTCAGTGCGAATAGCGTAGTTACATTTCATAGTTTGCTCACTGGGAGACTGAGAAAGTTGTTCAGGGGGAAGGTGTGATTTTCACATTGCTTTATGTAATACCAGGTTAAGCATTTTAGGAGTTCTGATTTCTTTTAGCAATGGGGAGGACCTACCCAGTCAAGAGGTTAATTGAAGCCTGATTTTTCCTAAGTGGACTTAAAATTATGAGTAAGTAAAAAATTGATCCTAGGAAATCAAAAGCTTAATTCAAGGGTAAATATTCTGAGGTTTGGAAGGAGCTACAGTAGTTATTCTTTATGGTCTTCATCATCACTCACACCCCTGCCTTTGTTCCCTGCCTAGTACTCCAGGTTCTCTGACATCGGCTCACTGCCTCACATTTGCCAACATCCTCCCATTCCTTGCCAAGGACTAAGCATCCTATGTTGGGATCCCTGGCTTCATTTACAGTTAGACTGCTGCCATCATGCTTATAATCACTCTATGCATAAGTTAGTATTAACTCTATTTTGCATATGAAGAAATTAGGGTTTAGAGAGTGTACGTGATTTGTCTAAAGACACATGGGTAGTAAGTGACAAAGTAGTAATTCAGCTAAGTCTACCTAAGCCAAAGCCCATCCTCTTTTCTTTATAGTTTGCTCTCTCTATGAAATTCTTTTGCATTTCAATGATGAGATTTCTACTGTGTTATCCCCATCACAGCTGCCAAAACATTTAATTTCTAAGTATAAATCCAACACAGTTATTGCTGCTAAATTTCTGAACTTAAAGGTTGAAGTTCATCTATCTTTATATTTTTCTCTATAATTGTCAGATGAAATACTGAATCCACATTTATTATCTACCTATCTCTTTTTACTTAATGTCAGTGAAGGAGCAACTTTTGTTGTCTCAAAGAAAAACAGCCTGTTTCATGGTAGAGATACTAACCTTCCCATGCATACTACAACATCACTCCCAAACATTTTATTGCAAAGAGCTATATTTATCCATTTCTCCAATAGACAGTGAGTTTCTTTGGGTCAGGGCTAAATTTATTCATTTCTCTATCCTTCAGATCATTAATACAGTATGAGACACAAGATAGCACTCAATAAATGTTGAATACATTTAGGCATAGAAAGAATTATTTCAAAATATGTAACCATGACCTTTTTTCTGGTTTTAGTATTCCAACATAATATTAGAGACTTTCTGCAAATATTTTATTTTTTCATATTAAAAATTTCTTATAAATGTAGATTGGTTAATTTGTAAAATGAATCCTTAATACATTTCAGCTTTTTGTTTGAAATATATTTTTAAAAATTTAAGGAGGTGTGAAATGAAATGTGTAATGATTTTCTAAGATTGACCCAGAGGAAAATATGTCTCCAGGGGAATGATGGAGAATACATTTAACCCCACTCATAATTATTTTTAGTTAATTTCAAATATCTATGATTGAATTTAATCACTTTCTGGAATGTTCACAAGTTTCTAGTGTAGCCATAGCTTGGATTTTAACAGCTCTTACTCAATAAGGGAGCAAAGATCCAGAAAGAAAATGTCCTGGAGATTGTCTTTCATACCCAATTAATTTCACGGTGGTTGCTAACATTTTGTTTCTGTTGTTATTCTTTATCCCAAATAAACTGGCAAAAATGCACATTTGAAAATATCTTTGGGCCATTGTTTTTAAGCATTTCCATTTTGCTGGGCAATGCATAGAATAGGCAATGATACAAAGGACCGGCTTCTTTACAGAAGCCTCTGCCCCCAGGACATAAGTGTCCTTGAGTAACAACATGATACAATCATGAAAGGAAAATGAGCTTACGATATATTTCTGACTGAAAAGGAGTTTATGCATTTATACTACGAGATCCATTTGTGCCCCTACTGTGTACCCATCAGTGTCTTGGCCCTTCAGGGTTTGATAGTGATCCAGGGAGCCATTGCAAATGGTTTTGTGTACCTTATAATCTGATGGGCAGTTAAAATACAATGTGATAAATGCTGAGACAGAGGAAATTTGGGGTTCTATGAGAGCACCTGATCTGGACTTGGGGTTGAGGGGTGGATAACGAGGGCTCTCTGATTTCGGTAACATCTAAGCCAAAATCTGAAGGTAAAAAGAGGCAGGAAGAGAGGTCCTGCAGCGATGTGGTGTGTGTGATGATCAGGAGGCATGAAGTAGCAGGTCATATCACAAGGACTAGAAGTAATTTAATACACAAGTTCCAGCTGCAGACCAGGTAAAGAAGTGGAGCTCTCTCTCTCTCTTTCAGAAGCTTGTGGAAACTATTACCAAAGCCATCATCTTTATATGATGAGGGAATGTCACACTCCGCACGGTACTTGGCCTTCCATTGTTAGAGCAGAAGGAGAGATGCAGTTGCCGAAGGAGATAGAACCGCAGGGCAGTGTTTTCTGAAAATGTCAGCTCCACGGAGTCATTTTAGTCAACATAAGTAGAAGCCGGTTTTGTATATTGGAGGCAAGGAAAGGAGGCTATAAAAATCAGTTGATTTAAATACAGTGTTTAAAGAGAGAGATTGCCAGCAGAGATGGTTAAGGAGAAGAGTGGACTGGGAACAGGAAGGTCTAAGAGCTGGACAGGCCTCTGTCCTTGGCTACCCTGGTGAAAGGTTATCTTTTTTTGTGAAAATCAGCTTGAAACTTTGAAATCAG